TCATCAGCGGCAGGCTGAGTTACAGGGGGCAGAGACAGCTGGTCCTGTCCCCCCAGTGGCAGAGTGATTGCAGGGAAATGGGAGCCCAGTCTCCATTCCCCAGCGGCAGAGCAATGTACAGGGAATTGGGAGCCCAGTCTCCATTCCCCAGCGGCAGGCTGAGCTACCAGGGGCAGAGAAGGTCGGTCCTGTTCTCCAGCAACAGGGCTGTTTAGCCAAAGGGGAGACAGTCTGTCTCCCCCTCCAGCAGCAGAGCTGTGTATCCAAAGGGGAGACAGTCAGTCTCCCCCTCCAGCAGCAGAGCTGTGTATCTAAAGGGGAGACAGTCGGTCTCCCCCTCCAACAGCAGAGCTGTGTATCCAAAGGGGAGACAGTCGGTCTCCCCCTCCAACAACCAGGCTCCAAGCAGGCTACTTCCATGGTAGCCATGGCACCAGGGCAGAGTACTGCTGCTCTCTGCCCACTCAGCAACCCACCAAGGCAGCTTACCAGTACCCAGCACAGCCGTGGTGAGGCACCTGGACATGGACAAGTTTCTCCTCTACCCAGGTGTAGTAACCAGTTATTGTGGGTGGGCTTTACTGCTGATTGTGTTTTGTGGGTGGGCTGCTGGACTAACCAGGGCACTGACCGGCAGGAGGTCATATACCCTGTTAGTCTGTTTGGAAAAGGGGAGAGATGTGACGAGACCAATCTCGCCACTGTGCATTGGAGGAGCCTGGTTGCCCGCCTGCTGCCTTTAGACTACGGCCCCATAGAAACATAGAATGTGACGGCAGATAAGAACCATTCAGCCCATCTAGTCTGCCCAATTTTCTAAATACTTTCATTAGTCCCTAGTCTTATCTTATAGTTAGGATAGCAACCACGCATGCTTAAACTCCTTTACTGTGTTAACCTCTACAACTTCAGCTGGAAGGCTATTCCATGCATCCACTACCCTCTCAGTAATGTAATACTTCCTGATATTATTTTTAAACCTTTGTCCCTCTAATTTAAGACTATGTCCTCTTGTTGTGGTAGTTTTTCTTCTTTTAAATATAGTCTCCTCCTTTACTGTGTTGATTCCCTTTATATATTTAAATGTTTCTATCATATCCCCCCTGTCTCGTCTTTCCTCCAAGCTATACATTTTAAGATCCTTTAACCTTTCCTGGTAAGTTTTATCCCGCAATCCATGAACCAGTTTAGTAGCCCTTCTCTGAACCCTCTCTAAGGTATCAATATCCTTCTGAAGATACGGTCTCCAGTACTGTGTACAATACTCCAAGTGAGGTCTCACCAGTGTTCTGTACAATGGCATGAGCACTTCCCTCTTTCTACTGCTAATACCTCTCCCTATACAACCAAGCATTCTGCTAGCATTTCCTGCTGCTCTATTACATTGTCTGCCTACCTTTAAGTCATCAGAAATAATCACCCCTAAATCCCTTTCCTGATATGTTGAGGTTAGAACTCTATCAAATATTCTGTACTCTGCCCTTGGGTTTTTACGTCCAAGATGCATTATCTTGCACTTATCCACATTAAATGTCAGTTGCCACAATTCTGACCATTTTTCTAGTTTACCTAAATCATTTCCAAAACATATCCAAAAAGCGCTCAGTTCTGTTTGGTAGAACGGAATTGCTATTCGAGTAAAGTTCTGACCGACCGGCCACAAGGCGATAGCCCAAAACACTTCCAGAGAAATCATGGGGACGGCCAGTCAGCTTTCGGGGGTTCCTGTGCGAACACCGACGAACGCTCCCCCTGGCTTTTAGGAAGCAAGTGCTCCCCCCAGTCGGTAGTTCATATCTCCCGAACGTCGATCTTTTACTTGGTCGGGAAGTAGAACGGGCAGAGATACGAATCCCGCCTTGGTTCACAGATTCGCGTGGTCGAAAAGAGTTCCAGGTATTTGACGGCCATGTACCACTGCCTTTGTTCGGGAGACAAAATGGTCATGCCTTGGACCACGTGCATTTGGTTAAACGAATGGCAGCCACCAAGGGAAAGCACACAAGTTAATGTGTAGAGTTGTTAATTTGTGGTTAACAGCCAGGGGAAGTTGGTGTACACTGAGGTATAAAAGGGGGCACCACACACCAGTTATTCAGGAGATGAACAAGGGTATACGGACAAAACAAGCTTTTGACCAATGCAGGAATCCTTAGCACGAAAAATTTGGAAAATAGTCAGAATAAAAGATGGGATAGAGCCACGTTGTGAATTACTAGGTAATTTATTAAAGATTTATTCTTTTCACTGCAGATACTGGCTCGGCCTTGTTATTCTCCTTTAATACTCTTCCTACCTTTCCCAGCAGTCATTCAGTGTTTCTTTCTCTGGCTCTGCCTCTTCTCCACAATCCCTCTCTTTTTTTGTTTCCAAGGGTCTGTCCTTTGTTCTCCATCTACACTGCCTCCCTTGGTAAACTCATCAGCTCCTTCAGCTTCCAGTATCATTTCTATGCGGATGACATGCAAATGTATCTGTTCTCCCCTGATTTATCACCACCCCTCTTGACTCGTGTCTATGACTGCCTCTCTGCTATTTCCAATTGGATGGCTGCTCATTTCCTTAAACTGGACCTAGCGCTGACTCTCCCCCCCTGTTCTTATCGTCTTTTAATTCCCTCTAGAGTTAGCAGCTTTTTAACCACTTGTTGTTATCATGTCTATCTTCGATTTTAGAAACAATTATATTATTGATGTGGAGAATGTTTTTGACACAGAGGCTATTAGCCCTATTCAAATTAACTACCCCAGTTTAAGTCAACAAGAATTGTTTATAAAATTAGAAAAGTCCCTTACTACTGAAATAAAGCTAAAATGGGAAATAGCTACTTTGAAAAAATATATAGACGAACAAATTACCCCCCAAGGCCTAAGATTACTTAAACTGCCCACTTCCGACCAAGACGATCTCGAGTTTATGGAGCAATGGAACAGAAAATTAGAATTATGAACCTCACGAATAGCTGCTAGCAGACGAACAGGAAAAGCAGGAAAAGCTCCTGGCAATCAGTCTCTATCAGCATACAGTAAATCCCCCCAAAGACGAGACAGAGCTCCGTGTTGAGGGTCAAGCAGTGGTCTGTTTAATGAGGGCTACCTGCCCAGTATTTATGCAGGTCTCCCATCTGGTGGACACTCCCCTAGGGGACCAGATGGAAGACTGTAACAAAAGACAGACATGTACCAATTACAGACATACAGAAGTAAAACATCCCCACAATGCATCCTGGCTTCCTCCCCTCTGCCCTGGAGAAGTAATTCAATTATCTCCCAGGACAAAGGCAAAACTCCATTACACACGTGGGGACACAAAACCAGTATTATACTTTAAAATACATAAAGTAACATTTATTACATAAAACACAGACATGTAACATATCCCCAGATAGCTCAGGTCTGAGCGCACATTATTAAGCGAATGGCACTCAGACCACACGAATACAGTTTAATCGCCATGGAGCCAAAGTCTTTACAGTCAGTTTCATATGAATGGGCTCCATGGGATTCCTATGTGGGGTATAACACATTCAAACAAAACTACTGAACACCGGGCCGTTTGTGCACTTCCACCGAACAAGAAGGGAGGTCGGCGGCTTCAGCGGTGTTTGCGCAAAACTGTGTCCGATTTTAGTTCCATGAAAATAGGGGCGAACACCGCTGTGCATTCGTATGTTTAAAATGGCCGCGACCTCGTGTTCGGGATACGAATGGCGGCCACCCAGCATTCGTCAATTAAGCTGCGGTTAACCGAAGCTTCAGGGAGGTTAATTGCCGGCACACTCCAGCTCCCTGGTGGTCTATTCATTCGTGCGGTTGTTCGGTAGATTGAATCTACCGAACAACCGGCAGAAAAGTACGAATACAGCTTTTCTGCAGGCGAAATAAAGTCTTTTATTTCCAGAGGCAGCAGGCGAGCAACCAGGCTTCTTCAATGCAATGTGGCGAGATTGGTCTCGTCACAGTCCCGAACTGTTTTAAAGAATAATCGCCAAGAAACAGGTAAGCACATTCAATTATATCCAGTTTGATGTCTTTTGCTGGATAAACAATCTTTCTTTATAATCCGAGGTCTCTGTTCCTGTATATGTGCCTGGCTAACTCTTAGAGGGACGGTAGCAGTGAATATTCCCAGGCATAAGGTAGGGTTTTGTTACAGTATACAATCAATCAATTTTAACATGTTTTTTTTTTTTTAAAAGGATTACACTTAAAATAGACTTAAAGTATTTTAAACAAACATGAGTTTAATTTTTTGGATAAGAAATTCCCCAAAATCCCTGTTATTTATTTTCTTCCGAAAATACATAAGAATGAAAAGATAGCCCCTAGTAGACCAATTGTGTCAGGTATAGGCTCTCTTCTTTGCAATCTCTCACAATATATAGACACTCTCCTCCAACCCTCTGTCAAAAAATGAAGTTACATTTACAAGATTCAATGTCACTTTTTAAAATTTTAACTAATTTTAATTGGGATGCAAATTTTATATTAGTCACCTGTGATGTACAATCCTTATATACTATTATACCTCATGGGATAGGATGCAAAGCCATCAAGGACATTTTAAAGAAAAAAAATTGATTTCCCGATATACAAATAAATTTTATAATAGAGGGTATAAGTATTATTTTAAAGAACAATTATTTTTGTTTTTTAAACTCCTTTCACCTTCAAAAAAGAGGAACAGCTATGGGTACTAGGTTTGCCCCTAGCTTTGCCAATTTGTTCATGGCGGACTGGGAATCCACTGCTATCTTTAATACTCACACTTGGGAGGCAAACCTAGTCTCATATTTTAGATATATAGATGATCTTTTTTTTATTTGGAACAGGTCAGAAGAAAGCCTTCTCTCTTTTATTAATTATCTTAATACTAATGACAGAGGTATAATTTTAACACACGAATTCAGTAGGGAACAAATACATTTTTTAGATTTAAACATATTTATTAAAAATGGGCAAATACACACAAAAACTTTTTTAAAATGTTTTGTGTTAATACAGCTATTGACAGATTAAGTTGCCACCATAAACCCTGGCTTGAAATTGGCCCACAAAGCCAGTTTTTACACTTACGCAGGAATTGTACTGAATTAGAAGATTTTAATGAACAAGCCGAAATTTTAAAAAACAAATTTATTGAAAACAATTATCCAGAAACAGATCTAGTAGACACTATTAATAAGACAAAACTCAGAAACAGGAATGAGCTTTTAACATACAAGCCAAAAACAGACAATGAATCCATAATTCTCCCTATTGCTTTTAATTATAATAATTGTAACGGCTACCCTGGTAGAGAGAGGGTATCGGCCGTTGGAGACGTCCTTTTTCCCTGCAAGCTGCTGTGGAGGAGTAAGCTGGTATAATCCCATTCACGATATCCAGAGTAAAAGTCAGGTTCAGCTGTAGCAGGAGCAGAATAACATTCCCAAATAATCCCCTTCCAAGAACGAGACAAGGCTACGTTTTGCAGGGTCAAGAAGATCTGAGGTCTGGGAGAACCAGCCTGCTTTTATTAGGAACAAGTACACACAGGACACTCCCAGGGGGAGGATGAAAATAACCAATTACACACAGGGTAACACCCCCACGTCTCCTCCCCTCAGATAAACATATAACATAATTATAACGTACATAAATTTACCCACATTCTGGATGTACCCCAAAAACAGGGGGTACACCTTTAAGTCCAGCACCGCTTAATAGCTACCACTCAGGGGAATAACATATTCAAATTTCAAGTCATTCGGTTGTGGGGTTCGGGAGTTATGGGTCTTTGAAGTTTTGACCGACCGCACAGGATTTTCAGCCGAAAAGAGTTCCACAAGTTTTGGCCTTGCGGTCGGTCCCCGTTCGTGAATAAAAACCCCACGAACCCCTTGCCCTCCACAGTAATCCTGCCGTTCGCCTGAATCCCCATGCATGCTTAAACAAAACTACCGAACGGCCGGTCGTTCGGTAGTTTCAGCACGAACTTACGAGCTCCTGGAGGTCTCAGCGGCGTTCGCCTGTTTGCGTATCCGTTTTTAGTTCCATGCGTTCACAGGCAAACACCGCCGTTCGTGCGTAAGATGGCCGCGAACACGTGTAAAGTCCCGAAATGGCGGCCACCTATTCTCAGACAAAGGGATTCGTCTGAACCAGGCGAACGGCTGTATTCTCCAGTAATGATATTCCCTTGCAATGATTTCGCCATTTTCACTGTTTTAGTCCACAGGGCTTTGGTGCTGGTGAAGTCCTGTTACACTGCTCCCCTTTTGTGGAACACCCCGGCAGACCCGGATTGATCCTTTTCGGGTCAACTTGGGGCTGTCCGGTCCTTTGTTAGGGTAATAGTTCTGTTTGTCTGGACAGACCATCGGCATTTCCATTAAATTTGCCAGGGCGGTATTGGATAGAGAAGTTATAGGGTTGCAGTGCGAGGCTCCATCTTAATAAACGTCCATTGTCTCCAGCTACTCTATTCAGCCATACCAGAGGGTTATGGTCGGTGATTAGAGTAAATTCCTGCCCGTACAAATATGGGGTGAGTTTCTTTAGTGCCCAGACTAGGGCCAAGCATTCCTTTTCCACTGCCGCGTAACTCACTTCCCTAGGTAACAGTTTTCTACTGAGATACGCGACAGGGTGCTCGCTTCCATCCTCACCGACCTGGCTTAGAACTGCCCCCAGTCCATACATGGATGCATCTGTATGGACGACAAATCTTTTGTTAGGGACGGGGGCAGACAGGACAGGTGCATGGATTAGAGCATTCTTTAGGGCTTGAAAGGCGGTTTCACAGGCGGGAGACCACAGGACTATCCTAGGCAAGTTCTTTTTGGTTAGGTCTGTCAAGGGTTTTGCGATGGCGCTATAGTCTGGGACAAACCTCCTATAATATCCTGCCGTCCCCAAAAATGCTAAGACCTGAGTTTTGGTGTGGGGTGTGGGCCAGTTAGCTACCGCTTCAACTTTAGCGGGTTCTGGGCGCTGCTTCCCACATCCCACCCGGTGTCCCAGGTACTGGACTTCGGCCATGCCGAAGTTACACTTCTCTGGTTTCAGAGTCAAGCCTGCGGCTCGAATCTGATCCAGTACGGCTTCGACATGCTTTAAATGCTCCCCCCAGGTTTCGCTATAGATCGCAATGTCATCCAGGTACGCGCAAGCGAAATCCTGGAAGCCATCAAGGAGGCGGTCCACTAAGCGCTGGAATGTAGCCGGGGCGTTTTTCATCCCAAATGGCATGACTTTGAACTGGTACAAGCCAAATGGGGTGACAAAGGCCGACTTAGGGATAGCCTCCTTGTCCAGGGGGATCTGCCAATATCCTTTGCACAAATCGATGGTGGTCAGATAACGTCCCCTGGCAATGCGATCTAATAGCTCGTCTACTCGGGGCATGGGGTAGGCGTCTGTCACGGTTCTGTCATTGAGACGTCGATAATCGACACAGAACCGAGTGGTTCCGTCCTTCTTGGGAACTAGAACCACCGGGGAGGCCCACGGACTGTCCGAGGGCTCTATCACCCCCAGTCTTAACATTTCTTGGATCTCCTTCCTCATCTCCTCTTTTACTGCCTCAGGGATCCTATAGGGGGTTTGTCGGAGAGGGGTTTGTCCTGGGGTCTCTACATAGTGGGTTGCTAAGGGGGTGTACCCGGGCTCTTGGGAAAACGTCAACCCTTTCTCAGTCAGCAGCTGTCGGATCTGTCCCTTTTCGGCGGGAGTTAACCGCTCCCCTAGCTGTACGGTATTGAGGAGGGTTTTAGGTTCTGGGTTAGCTAATAGGTCGGGTATGGGTAAGCTGTCAGGGTCTTCGGCAGCGGGTATGCATATGGCGGCTATATCCTCGGGTCTTTCCTGATATTCCTTTAGTAAATTTACATGAAAGGACTTCCGGATCCTTTCATCTTTGTTGCTGGCGATTACGTAGGTGGTGTCACAGACTTGTGCTACCACTTTGTAAGGGCCCTGCCAGGAGGTCTGGAGCTTATTCCCTTTGACAGGTCTAAGTACCAGCACCTTCTGGCCTACTTGGAAGGTTCTCTGGCGGGCGCCCTGATCGTACCAACGTTTCTGGTGCCCTTGGGCCGCATGGAGGTGGTCCCGTGCCATCCGGGCTAACTGTTCCATACGGTCCCGCATTTCTAATACGTATGGCACGATGGGTACACCGTCGTGTTCTGTCTCCCCCTCCCAGTGCTCCCGGATGAGGTCGAGAGGTCCTCGTACTCTCCGGCCATAGAGCAGTTCAAAGGGAGAGAACCCTGTGGATTCCTGCGGCACCTCCCGATAAGCGAACAGGAGGTGCGGCAAGAATCGTTCCCAGTCTCTGTATTCCGCTGTAAAGGTCCTCAGCAATTGCTTTAGGGTACCGTTAAAGCGTTCACAGAGACCGTTAGTCTGTGGGTGGTACGGGGAACTAAGCAGGGACTTAATACCACAGACCTTCCACAGCTGTTGGGTTAGGTCTGCGGTAAACTGGGTCCCTCTGTCGGACAGGATTTCCTGGGGGAATCCCACTCGGGTGAATATCCCGACTAGAGCACTGGCGACAGTGTCAGCCTGGATATTCGTCAGAGCGACGGCTTCTGGGTAGCGAGTCGCATAGTCCACCACGGTAAGGATGTATTTCTTACCAGAGGGACTGGGGTTAGGTAGAGGTCCCACTAGGTCGACTGCTACCCTGCTAAATGGTTCCTCGATCACAGGCATAGGTAGCAGTCGAGCTTTAGGGTGATCCCCTCTCTTCCCTACCCGTTGGCATACGTCACAAGTACTGCAGTAACGTCGCACATCCTTCGAGATCCCCGGCCAAAAGAAGGTCTGGGTGATCCTGAAGGTGGTGCGGTTACCCCCTAGATGTCCTGCCAACGGAATGTCGTGGCCAATTCGGAGAAGTTCCAACCGGTACTTTTTGGGTACCACCAGTTGGCGCTTCTGCGAAGGGGCACAGCCTCTCTTTCTGCCTTCAGTCAGTCTGTATAACCTGTCCCCATCCCATAGAAAACTTTCCCGTCCGTCCCCCCCATGGTCAGCTAATTCTCGATACTTTTGGAGGGTGGGGTCCTCTCTAGTTTCCCTCCCAAACTCCTCTGGGGTGTCCCAAGCTATGGGCCTGCCTATCGTAGTGGGGTGACATGTGGGTGCTTGGCTTACCTGGGTCTCCCGGCCTGTATTAGGATCATCTGCGACACGGGACTGTGAACGGGTGGTTACGGGACAGGCGGCAGCAGGTGTGGGCAAATATGCTGAAGTTAAAGGTCCAATGTCATTTCCCAATACGACCTCGGCAGGCAAGTTGTCCATAATGCCGACGGTGGTTTTTCCTGATCCAACTCCCCAATCTAAGTGTACTCGGGCGGTGGGCAAGCGAAAAACAGCGCCCCCTGCAACCCGAACAGCAACAGTGCGGGTCGACACATCCTCCGGCTTCACTAGGTGTTTTTGGATCAAAGTGATGGTAGCCCCGGTGTCTCTTAGGCCTTGTGCTGTTTGTCCATTCACCTTAACCTCCTGTCGGTGATGTTGTCGATTGTCTGGGGAAGCAGCTTGTATGGGGTCTGCTTCATACAAAATCCCCAGACATTCTTCAGGGCCCATTTCGGCTTCCAGACAGTGAGCCGCAGCGGGTCGTGCTGCGGGGGCCTCGGTGCTGGGAGTTGTGCGCCTCCAGTTGTTGTTACTGGATCTTAGGGGACAATACCGGGCAATATGTCCGAGGTTGCTGCAGTGATGGCACGTCACCTTTGACAAATCCCGGGGGTAGTTAGTAGGCCCCTGAGGCCGGGGTGGTCCTGGTGGGACTGGAGCTCGAAATTCTGGGCGTGAGACAGCGGCTGGGGCACGTGGCTCTATTTTGTGAGCTTGTCGGGTAGTACCCTGGCTTACTTTCCTTGTCTCGGCATATTCGTCGGCCAGCCGAGCCGCCTCCTTTAAATTGGCGGGGCGCCGATCTCGTACCCAGTCTTGTATGTCCGCCGCCAAATCTTGGAAGAAATGCTCCATTAAGAACAACTGTAACACCTCCTCACCCGTGTGGGCTTTGCATCCTTGGACCCAGTGAGATGCTACTCTCTGTAGTCGGTTTGCCCATTCCATGTGGGAGTCCACAGCTTTCTTTTTGGACTCCCGAAAGCGACGACGGTAGGCTTCTGGGGTTACCGCATACCTGGTGAGCAGTGCCTCTTTTACTTTTTGGTACTGCGTGATTTCCTCTGTAGTGAGTGCTCGGAAAGCCTCATTAGCTTTCCCTGACAGTTTTCCCGCCAGGATAGTGACCCATTGCTCTGGCGGTATGTGATGTAGTGAGCACTGTCTTTCAAAGTCAGCCAAATATCCATCAATTTCCTCGTCATTTTCTACAAAGGCTTTAAATGCAGTAAAGGGAATTTTTGTTACCGTAGTAGTGGGTAGCGGGGTAGGAACTGTCTGGGTAGTGAGCTGTCGGGCTCTTACCAGTTCCGTTTCTTGTTCCCTCTTGGTTTGTATTTCTTCCCTTGCTTCCCGGAACAGTTGGGTTATTAGTTCTGTAGACGTGACTGGATACAAAGCTAACCTCCGCTGCACAATTGCAGTAATCACATCGTCCTCACTGATGGGTGCCATGGGTTCAGTTACCTCCATGGACCTGTCCATCTCGTCCAGCTCCAGCAAGTCAGCTATCAGCTTCCTCCGTGGTCTGTTGCTGGCACTCCTACCACGATTCTCCAACAGATCCTTTAGTGTGGGTCTTTTCAGCTTCGCATACTGTGACTCCATTCAGTGCTTGCTTGTTGGATAAAAGGACCATCCCACCGCTGCCACCAATGTAACGGCTACCCTGGTAGAGAGAGGGTATCGGCCGTTGGAGACGTCCTTTTTCCCTGCAAGCTGCTGTGGAGAAGTAAGCTGGTATAATCCCATTCACGATATCCAGAGTAAAAGTCAGGTTCAGCTGTAGCAGGAGCAGAATAACATTCCCAAATAATCCCCTTCCAAGAACGAGACAAGGCTACGTTTTGCAGGGTCAAGAAGATCTGAGGTCTGGGAAACCCAGCCTGCTTTTTATTAGGAACAAGTACACACAGGACACTCCCAGGGGGAGGATGAAAATAACCAATTACACACAGGGTAACACCCCCACGTCTCCTCCCCTCAGATAAACATATAACATAATTATAACGTACCTAAATTTACCCACATTCTGGATGTACCCCAAAAACAGGGGGTACACCTTTAAGTCCAGCACCGCTTAATAGCTACCACTCAGGGGAATAACATATTCAAATTTCAAGTCATTCGGTTGTGGGGTTCGGGAGTTATGGGTCTTTGAAGTTTTGACCGACCGCACAGGATTTTCAGCCGAAAAGAGTTCCACAAGTTTTGGCCTTGCGGTCGGTCCCCGTTCGTGAATAAAAACCCCACGAACCCCTTGCCCTCCACAGTAATCCTGCCGTTCGCCTGAATCCCCATGCATGCTTAAACAAAACTACCGAACGGCCGGTCGTTCGGTAGTTTCAGCACGAACTTACGAGCTCCTGGAGGTCTCAGCGGCGTTCGCCTGTTTGCGTATCCGTTTTTAGTTCCATGCGTTCACAGGCAAACACCGCCGTTCGTGCGTAAGATGGCCGCGAACACGTGTAAAGTCCCGAAATGGCGGCCACCTATTCTCAGACAAAGGGATTCGTCTGAACCAGGCGAACGGCTGTATTCTCCAGTAATGATATTCCCTTGCAATGATTTCGCCATTTTCACTGTTTTAGTCCACAGGGCTTTGGTGCTGGTGAAGTCCTGTTACAATAATAAAAGTGGTGCAATGAATAAAATTATCAAAAAACACTGGCACATTTTAAGACATGATGATAAACTCAATCAAATTTTACCTGAAAAACCTAATATAGTTTTTAGAGTAGCTCCAAATTTTAGATCAATTTTAACTTAAAATTTTACTAAAGAAATTACACTTAAAAACTCAGCATCCTTTTTTCCACAAGTGAAAGGTTTTTTAAATGTAAAACATGTATTGTATGCAAAACCACAGATTGTACCGTTCCGTCCAAAACAACACAATTCACCTCCAACAGGACTAAAATGACTTTTAGTATTAAAGAATTTATTAACTGCAATACTAAAAATGGGATTTATCTGCTTGAATGCCCATGTGGCCTCCAGTAGTTGGAATGACCACAAGGTGCTTGAAAACAAGGTTAAGCGAACACTGCAGAAATATTAAAAATGGATACTTGAACCAAACATTTCATAAACCATAATAAATATCCTAAAATGCTTAAATGCATGGGGATTAAAAAGAATGTACCTTACCCTGGAAGGGAGGTGATATAAAAAAATGTTTTAGGAAAAACGGAAATGGAATGGGTCTACAAGTTACAAACCCTTACACCATACGGTTTAAATGCAGATTTTGACCTGTTTAATTTCTTATAACCACACTTCTGTTTTAAACAAATGTTTTACATTTTATGTTTTATTATGTATACTTATATCTATTTATTAATTTCACATATGCTCCAGTTAATAAGGAAAACTCTTTTAAAAAGGGTATATGTGTTTCCAAAGATGGTATATGTGCCTTTAAATATTATATATGCAAATGTGGTAGAATTTCTAAGATATTATATGTACATTTTAAGGATATTTAATGTATATGCTATCAGTGTATTACTATGTCAATTTTTTTATAAAATGTACCAGTTCATACACAATTATTATCTCTTAATTCCCCTTCCAATATGGCCACCATTGCTTCCTTTACTTAAATCCCCTCCCAATATGGATGTTCTTGACGGCATGGTTATTTAGTACCGCCCACAATCCGCCCTTGCACCCGAGCGGCCAATTATTAAGATCGCCGCACCATCCCCCCTCCCTAACTCCTCCCCTTTTCAGACGTTTACATCCCCGAGTGGTTAAACCTACTGCTTGTTTCCAAGCCCATGCTGTGTGAGTGCGCCCCTATCACGCCGGCAAGCACTCACACAGCCAGTTACACAAACTACATTTCCCAAGGAGCATTGTTCCTGAACTAAGCCGATCACATGATGATACATTCAAGAACTTATCTTTATGTAGACACCTCGTTTTAAATACATTTTTATATCATTATGCTCATAGTAGCCTATTTTATATTATCATATGAATTTTATCCATTTATATATACACTGCTCAAAAAAATAAAGGGAGCACTTAAACAACACAATGTAACTCCAAGTCAATCACACTTCTGTGAAATCAAACTGTCCACTTAGGAAGCAACACTGGGTGACAATCAATTTCACATGCTGTTGTGCAAATGGGATAGACAACAGGTGGAAATTATAGGCAATTAGCAAGACACCCCCAATAAAGGAGTGGTTCTGCAGGTGGTGACCACAGACCACTTCTCAGTTCCTATGCTTCCTGGCTGATGTTTTGGTCACTTTTGAATGCTGGCGGTGCTTTCACTCTAGTGGTAGCATGAGACGGAGTCTACAACCCACACAAGTGGCTCAGGTAGTGCAGCTCATCCAGGATGGCACATCAATGCAAGCTGTGGCAAGAAGGTTGGCTGTGTCTGTCAGCGTTGTGTCCAGAGCATGGAGGAGCTACCAGGAGACAGGCCAGTACATCAGGAGACGTGGAGGAGGCCGTAGGAGGGCAACAACCCAGCAGCAGGACCGCTACCTCTGCCTTTGTGCAAGGAGGAACAGGAGGAGCACTGCCAGAGCCCTGCAAAATGACCTCCAGCAGGCCACAAATGTGCATGTGCCTGCTCAAACGGTCAGAAACAGACTCCATGAGGGTGGTATGAGGGCACGACGTCCACAGGTGGGGGTTGTGCTTACAGCCCAACACCGTGCAGGATGTTTGGCATTTGCCAGAGAACACCAAGATTGGCAAATTCGCCACAGGCGCCCTGTGCTCTTTACAGATGAAAGCAGGTTCACACTGAGCACATGTGACAGTCTGGAGAAGCTGTGGAGAACATTCTGCTGCCTGCAACATCCTCCAGCATGACTGGTTTGGCAGTGGGTCAGTAATGGTGAGGGGGGCATTTCTTTCGGGGGCCGCACAGCCCTCCATGTGCTCGCCAGAGGTAGCCTGACTGCCATTAGGTTCCGAGATGAGATCCTCAGACCCCTTGTGAGACCATATGCTCATGCAGTTGGCCCTGGGTTCCTCCTAATGCAAGACAATGCTAGACCTCATGTGGCTGGAGTGTGTCAGCAGTTCCTTCAAGACGAAGGCATTGATGCTGTGGACTGGCCCGCCCGTTCCCCAGACCTGAATCCAATTGAGCACATCTGGGACATCATGTCTCGCTCCATACACAAACGTCACGTTGCACCACAGACTGTCCAGGAGTTGGCAGATGCTTTAGTCCAGGTCTGGGAGGAGATCCCTCAGGAGACCATCCGCCTCCTCATCAGGAGCATGCACAGGCGTTGTAGGGAGGTCATACAGGCACGTGGAGGCCACACACACTACTGAGCCTCATTTGACTTGTTTGAAGGACATTACATCAAAGTTGGATCAACCTGTAGTGTGTTGTTGTTTCATTCAGATCTAGGGTGTGTTATTTTTGTGTTCCCTTTATTTTTTTGAGCAGTGTATTATACTATGTTTGTTATTATCTGCTCTGTGATTGGCTGAGCCAATTTTAATTTACACCTCCCTATTTAAACTCTGTATGCAACTTTTATTTACCATTTTATACTCCCGTTTTATTGTTCACTCCTTACTGTTGTATTTTAAATAGGCCTATTTGTTGTATCTTCATTTAGACCATTTGGTCTGGTTGTTTGTTATTATAGATTACTGTTATTAGCCTCGGGCGCAGCCCCTACCCCCTTTGTATCTTTCTGTCCAGTTCAAAAGGGTCTTGAGGGATTCCTTTTTTGGGTTGCTGCCCTCTAGTCTGGTATCTAGCACTTCCCCCCTGTTCTTATCATCCTGTGGGCCTGCACGATATAGGACTCAATTTAAGATCCTGATACTTGCTTACAAATCTCTACACAATGCTGTTCTGACCTACTTATCCTCACTAATACACAAATATGTCCCATCTAGGCCCCCATGCT